ATTCCCATTAGCCATCACCTGCTCATAAAATATAAGATATAGCTCAGCTAACACTATATATATATGTACGTGACTATCGCAGCACATTTGAGAATGATAGAAAACTAAAGAAAGTAGACTTCTATAATTCCATTTGTCGTCGTATTTGAATTCCCAGTCGTCAAAGCCATTGAGAAGAGCCATATTCCCAGTAGAATAATCCATCAGCTAAGCCGGCCGGCAATCTTCTAAGTTTGGAAGTATACATGGATTTAAGTTAAATCAAATTTTAAAATATGTTTAGTTGAAAGTAGAATTTAGAATATTTGAATTTGAAAAATTCTATTAAAATAGGATTTTATATAATTTAGAAAAATCTTATGATATGAGAACTTGGTTGCCTAATGTATCATTTTTATTTTTATTTTATTTTTTTAAATAATTAAATCATTTTTATAACATTCAAAAATAACTTTCTAATATTTTTTAGGTGTTTTGATTTTTTAAGAAAATAAAATTATTATGTCCATCAGCTACCACTGGCTATCACCGTCATTGTCACCAGCTAATTCAATATGTATTCAAAAAATTAAGTTGTAAGCAAAATAAAATAAAAACTAGTGAAAAAAATAAAACCCAAAAATTAATCCGAAATCACCTCTAATTTAATTTCCTTTATGAGTTTTTTTAATAAAATTTTTTAAATCTTTTAAAATTAAAATTTTTATTTTAAAAATAAATTAATGCCAACGAATGAGATGTCACTTTTCGGTTTTTTATTTTATTTTTTAAAAAAATTAAATGTATAAGAATATAATATTTATTTTTATCTGATACTAAGCACGCCAAAATAAATTTAAAAATAAAATAAAAAAAGTAAAGTGATTATGAGTAACCCTTAAGCTAAAAATTGCTTAATGATATCAAAATGGGCTAATTCATTAGGCTTAGGTGCTTAAACATATTGATAGAATACTCAAGTTTTGACCTATATTAATACCTAGAATATGTTTAGTTAATTTAAATTTGAAAACAACTCCTTTAAAGAAGTGATCAATTAGCAAGATGCTTTCATCCTCTATCTTACTACAACTATGTCTAAAGAGTTAGCAAATATTTATTCCTTTATATCATCATGGCATTTTCTCCAAAAATAACTAGGAAGGAAATGGAGTAAGAGTAAAGTAAAAAGATCGTTAGGTTTTTGTCCAGCTTTAGGCTAGTATTATTCTGCGATATATCACACCAATGTAAATTCTATATGTAGAGGTTATATGTGATATATGTATTAAATGGGGAAATTAAATAAAGCTTTAGAATGTTTTCCTCTTGAAAATTTGCTCTCCCCTCCTCTCTCTCCATCTCCCTCTCCCCATCTCTCTAGATCCAATAAAGAAGATCTTCTCTCCTCTTCAAGAAATCCTGATAAATTGGTATCAGAGCTATGTAGAGGTGGAGGAAGGTTCATGTCCAAAGAAAGAAGAGAGGAGATCGATTGTCAGTGTGTGAGGGGCTGATGTGAGAGGGTCGCAAGATGCACACGGGGCACGAAATCAAGTTGCATAGGTGTGCTGCACGGGCAGTCGGGCTGAACCAAGCTGCGCTTGATTGCGGGCTGGTGCGCCGTAGTGAATCGAAGAGTGCACGAGCACAGGCACGTGACTGTGGAGCTGAGGTCGGGACCGTAGGTTGCGCGAGCGAACTGAAGGTGTAGGGAGTTGGTGGTTGCGCTAGCAGGCTAGAGGTGCCTTTCTGGATCTAGGCGGAGCTATTCAATCTAGAAAAATTGAAGCAGGACAGGCACAAGAGATGTCGTTCAAGATCTGGGCGGAGAACGTCTAGTCTGCACGAGGAGTCATCACAGTGAACGCGCATGTGCACGGAGGCAGGTCATTTCATAAAAGCGTAATTTTGCATGTGTCGAATCACGACAGTACCAGAATTCTTAATTCACGAAGCGTGAAGCGGCCTAGTTCCACGATTAGGAATCAGAGTTGCTAAACAGGCAGACCAGACAGGAGGCCGCTGATTTAGAGGTGCAACAGGTTTGTTTGGTCGGGCTTTTTGTTGTGAGAGGGAAAGGATCTAAAGCCTTACTTGTGTATAACATAGGAAAAGGGCACTAAGAAAGTTCAAATAGTCCTTGATTGATTCTTGCTTTGTAGACAAAAGCTGGTGGAGGAGAAGAGGAAACCAATGGAAAAATTCTTTAAACATTTTAAAATTTGACAAATGTGGAGATTGTTGTGATTTGGTTTAATTTTAGATTATGTTGATTCTTAGGTTCATCTTAGCTACTTCTAGTATTATAAGTAGAGGTTTGATTTATCTGTAAAGGTGGGAAAATGTTTTAACTAGTAGTGATTGTACAAAATCAAAAGAAATAAATACATATACAGACTCAAATCATAACCTGAAATGGCTAGTCAACTGGCTCTTTCCCTTATCAGACCCTGAAAATAGATGGTGAAATCAGAATGAGTGAGCTAATACAACTCAGCATGTCACACATATCGATCTAATTTTTCAATCATTTCTTTTATTAAACATTCACGAGAATTATTAAAGGTGATATAACCAATCATTATGCCAAACAAAATAATAATGATAGACCAGTTATCCAAAAAATTAAATAATAATACTTATAAATTAAATAAATTAAAATCTCTTATGCATTTCATATCACATAACAGTGTAATAGATTTCTCCTTTCTCAGATAAAATTCAAAGACTCTGGCCTTTTATAACTCCTATCATTTATATTTTTCTTTTTCTCAAATATAATATAAAGATTTTAGTCCCTTATAACTTCAAACAAATAGATTTTATAGAGTTCCATATTATTTTATATTCAATTAAAATAGCATAAATCCCTAGTGTAAAATTAAAAAAAAAATAATTGAAGTGTTCAAAATCTCAGTATTTATAACATAAAAAAAGTTATATAGTGAAAATTTTATAAGTACAAAATTATCATCATTTTTCCGTAATGAAAAGAGAAATTTAATTAGAAAATTCATGAAATCTCTATATTACTAAAAACTGAGATAGGCACAATATGATCTATCTCAATCTGTATAACTTTTAGAACTGGGCCGACAGTTGAAAATGGTATGAAGCTGTCCAAAACATACATTCTCTCTCTAAAAAATCTCTCTCCTTCACTCTTTAGGCCGGATACCGCTCAAAATGTACTAGAATGGTATGGTGGAAAATATTTTTATATTAATATCCGGCCTATAGTGATGCTACACCCAGAACCTAGCGTCAGGGTGTTAGTTCAAAATTTTCAAAATACAAAGAGCACAATGTCAAGGCGTCACTGCTCTAGCACCGGAGCGCTCCAGGAAAAAAATTCCGATTTCACAAACATGCATTCCAATTCCCTGAAACTGGCTTCAGAATGCGTGCAGACCTTTAAATGCACACAGATAAATCCCAAACACATGCAAAGGGGGTCAGATGCAAAAATTCAAATTAGATTATCTGACTTCTAGTTGGATTAGAACGGTTTGAACAATACTTTTATCTATGAGATGTCACATAATGTTTTCATCTTTAATGATGATTTACATGCCAACTACCTTGGGCTCATGCTGCAATATGTCATTCCTTTGGAAAAATTGCTGAACATATTAATAGCTCTAGATTTTAACATTTGTTAAGCCTAGTAGCTGTATTAATTATGACATATAAAGTAAAATTTTCATCATAATGAAAAACATTAGAGCATAAAATATAACCAATCATCAATTTAACATGTAATTACATTACTATAAGAATTAATACAACTCTTAACTATATCACAATAAGAATTAATAACACTTAACTAAATTACTCAAACAATTACATCAAATATAATTAGTTCTTAAAATTATACTAAACATAGTTAACTTGTAGTTTATTATTAACTCAAAGGCTAACTTTCACATAAACTAATGTTACAAATATGACTAGCAATAGTTAGTGTTCTTAATTTTCTCATTAATTAATCCTGATTGTTGTCATTGCTTCTCAACATTAAAGAGTCAAAAGAAGGATAGATCATTTAAAAAAAGAGCAAGATTCAAACCTCATTTTTAATATTTGAATGAAGTTTGGGGCTTCGTTTGCGACGACTTTTTTAATGTTTCTTGAAGGAGCTTTCTAATACAAAAAAATAATTTTTATACTAAAAAACTGCTTCATGAAGCATTAAAAAAATCGTCCTAATCGAAACTTGAATCAAGTGAAAACCTATTTCAATTGGACTCCCTACTCTTTAAAGTTCTTGTACAAATTTGTATTATTACTAAGAATTATATCTTATATTCTTATTACAAGGATGATCTCATCCAAAATGAACATTCAGACATGTTTTCTTAAAATAATATATAATTTAAATGTTTGTCCAATTTGATGCATTATAAGATATATAAATGTTTATTATGTTTTTTAATTACATTTATTTTTTAAACAGATTGAGTTTTTTTTTTTTAATTTAAAATAGTAACAGTTGTCGATAGTCATCGCCATCAATGCCGCTCTTGTCATCACCACCTTTGCCATCCATATTCTCCCAAATATAATTAAAAGAAAAAAAAAAGATTGACCCCACATATAATTTTAATCCCATTTCAAAATATACGGAAAAGAAAAAATAAAAATACAAATGAGACCAAATTTAATTTTTATTTAATTTCAAAATTTAAGTAAAAAAGAAAAAAAAATGAAGGATCTCAATTCCCAAATAACACTAAGGGACTGGTTGTAGCACCCAGGATTTGAGTTAAGTAGGATTTTGTAAATTTGCTAAATCCGGATTTCGAAAATTCGTGGGAGCTTAAATTCTGAAAATTATTTGATAACATTTATGATAAATCATATTAAAATTCATGTATTTGTTTGACTATATAACAAATTTAAAGAGCATACTCTTACTCTCGAGCCAACAGATTTTTAAAATCAGGCAAAAAAAAAAATAGAATTTAGAAAATCCAGAATTTAACATGAATGTCGAAATTTTCCTACTAGGGTTTTTCATTTTAGCCATTTGGCTGGATTTCGCCCAAATCCACCTCAAATCGGGCATAAATCCTGCTACCAAACAGCCCCTAAATTTCGGTTCGACTGTGGTCCAATTCTAGTTAGAGGTTGATACTACATGCACCCTCAACGTTTAAACGACGAGATTTCACCCGTGCCTGCGCCACGATCTTCATCTCCCTGGCAACTCGGCGTGCCTCCTTCATCAAGTCAAAGACTCAACGATTTCGATTTCTTGCCAGCGTTGCTATTATCTGTTTCAGCAGATCATGTTTCACTACGAGGTTTGCGGTTCTTCTATTCATTTTCCTCAGCAATCCATGCTTTGAAATTGAAACAGAGTTCTAAATCCCAAATTATCGCAGTCGTTTCGCTGAACATTGTCATTAGACATCTTTGTTTTTCATTTTATCACTTTTTTGGTTTTGGCGGGATGGGGGAGATTTCCTCCAAGGAACGACTATTAGGGTTTTTGTGAATGATTTAATGTTGTGGTTTTCACACGCCGCTCAACAGTTGCAGCCAATTGAGGTTTTTTTTTTTTAATATGGGTTGGCATTAGTGCCTGCAGCGGTTATTTTGTATATTGCATTGAAAATTTTATTTTGCGATTATTTCTTCTGGAGACTCTTTTACGGAATTACACTCGAAGGGTTTGTTTGCTGATGAGGAAATCTTGAATTTTTGTGACTAAGACCTACCCTTGCACATATTATGTGCAGGAGAGGGCTCCTTACGTTTAATCCTTGTCGCATTGTTGGGTTCATACATTTAGCTTTTATTGGCTCACTTCCTCCCTAGGCTCACTTCCTCCCTAGGGCTTCTCAGCACAGCTGATACTAGACTTGCTTGAGTTCAATGAAAATGATTGACATTGATAGGCTTATACATATGATATGACATTATTTGGCCGCCTTCTCCCCGATAGTATCTCAGCAGAAGCTGATCCTGTACTAATTACATGTTTGAGGGAGAATTACATGTAACACAATACTTCTAATGCTGCTATTCACTCCCTCTAGCTCTTGCTTTGTTGTTACTGCTTATGCGATTTTTCAACAAGTCCACTGGCACCCCTGCAGTGAATTAATGACTTCTTTAGTTAGAGAACTAAGCGGAAGTAAAGGGGTTCCTGCTTTCACTAGCAAGCATAAGCTGTAGCAACATGACTTATTTTACAGTTTTGAACTTCCGAAGTGGAGGAAAAACATATGCCTTAATGACCCTTCTGCTAATTAGTTAGTAGAGCTATGAATATTTTGCTCTTAGGAATATAAATTATTACTTTCATATTACGATAAACCTAATTGAGAAAATTACTCAATCATTATCTTGCATGATTTTGCTAGGGTTCTTCTAGGAAATGATTGGTTATTTGGCTTCTTGGGCCATGATGAATTTAAAAAAAGTCTAATGGGTTCAAGGGATTTTTGTTTGAGCTTCTATGTGTTCAAGCAGATAATAATAAATATACAAATAATGTTTTATTGAAGAATTCTCCTAAAAATTTAAAATTAATGTCATCAGACTTTAAAAAACATATTAGAATAACAGTCATTGAAATATTTGATTTTATGATTAAAGAGCTTGTAGTTGTTTTTTTAGATTTTGGTTAATGAATCTCATTATACATCGGTTAAAGAGCATATGAATGTTGTGCTGTGCTATGTGAATTAATAAGGTCATGATGTCGAGCGAGTTTCTTGTATTGCGCATTTCGTAGATATAATAGCTAATTGTCTTAAACATAAAAATTAAATCCCTTAAGATTTCAGTTGAATATTTCTTTTTAACCTATGGTTTTAATATCTCAATAACGTGTGGCTAGGGCCGCTAGGGTTATGATGAAGTTACCAATATGAGGAAGAGTTTAAACGGCCGGAGACTCTCTTCATAAAATTCACAAAAACCTATTTGAGAAAATGGTATAGAGAATAAGGCTTATTTTTATCCCTAATTTTCAAGATATTGAATTCGGCATTAGATTTTTTTTCCCCACTGTTATAACAAGTGTTGAAAGAGCATTTTCGACTATAAATGTTATAAAAATTTGAATACAAAAGAAAATTTAAGATCAGTGGATAAATGATAATTTAGTCACTTCTATTGAATGATATTGACAATGAAGTTGTCATTTAAGATTTTTAAGATATAAATAGAAGACAACTTATTGTTAAGTAATTTACTAGTCTATATTATATCTTGTTCTATTAACAAAACCTAACAAAAATAAAAAGGTTTTTAAAATCACTATTGCTGATCTCAAATTTGGATGAGAAGGTTGAGTGTACAATCACATAATTAAAGATTATTAGAAGAATAAAATTAATTTATGTGCGCCTATTGAAAAAATTTATCGCCACTGCTTCACCCAGGCTATATGAGTTTTTTTAAATGATAGCAAGTAGCCAACCCTATGTAATAATATCTTAATTATTTTTCCTCCTTTTTCCTTTTTCCTATATTTATGCTATTCCCCCCCTTGCCCCTGCGGTGCATATCCCATACTGTTTATTGTCTTTAACCAGAGCAATTCATTCACTCTTTTTAAGTTACAGCCGCCTAACAACATTTACTCAATGCCTTATTGAATTGCTGTATGGGAATATAAAAATAGTTTTAGTTTGTTTTATTTGCAACCTGTGCAGTACCCATGACTCATTGATTTGTGGAAAACAAAAAGGCTTTATTAGATGTTTATTTGCTGCAGGGTCTAAGAAGCGAAGGACTTCCTCCATATAAACATATCCAGAGGAATGAATTCTCATACCGGAAGTAAATTCTCGATCTGTATGCATATATTGCCTTTTTTTAAATGTCTTGCAACTGAGATTAAATAACAGTTTATCCCATTTTGATGGATTTGTAAAAAAATTTAAGTATGGTTGGACCAAAAAAATATTTTATTATTCAATTCCATTGATATTGCCATATTAACTTAGGTCTATGATGGCAAACTTTTAAGTAATTTTTCTCCCGAATATAATATTGGGCAGTGCTTGCTCTTAATTTTTGGAAGGCAGTTTTTTACCTGGTTAGGTTGAACTTCCATTATTTTGCAACTTGCATTTTTGTTCCGATAATCCTTATTGCTCCATGTTTCTACAGACGTATTTCATACTTTAAAATCATGTTTGTATAAATCCCTATTTTTTCTACTATTTGGTAATAACCCATATAATTAGTCCTTTACTTTGCCAGAGAGGTTGTTCGTTACCTTCAAAAAGGTCTGGGGTTCTATATGACTATATATATAGTTAGTGATGGATACCATAGCTTCAGGATTTCAAGTAAAAAATCCCCTGTGCACTGTCAGGATTTATGTAGAAAATCACTTGAGCACTGCCAACATAGGTCTGTGTGTGTTACAAATGTTGCTGATGAAGGAATATCTTAATTAATGCCAGTCTTTGTGATTTGGGCGTCTGCACCTTTGTTCCCATTTTAATTTAGCCTACTAGCGTTTTCTATTAGTTTATTATTTTATTGACTTAATTAAGATGTAATTGTTTTCTTTGATTAATTAGACTGTTGTTGTTGTTGTTGGAAATTTATGAGCGAAGTTGGTCAGATATGGTAGACGTTTGCAAGTACATAGAAAACGATGTTATTATTAAGAAAACAAAATACTATAATTGAGACAAATGCATTCAAGATTATATATTATAAAGTAAATAAAATGATGCAGCTACAACTTATTTACCAGTCTATGTGCTAATCAAACTTGTTAAGCGAATGATTTTTTGTAGGCTAATTAAATGCATTTCTTTTTTAAATAGTCGTGGATATACAATGAAAATTCAAATGTATGTGCTATTTTTAAGGTGATGTAGAATCTAGCAGATAAGAAAAAATTGATTTAATTAAGTACTATAAATGAATGAAACGATGCTTTAGAAGATAAAACTCCTTGTCTAAGTGGAACAATGGCTGAATATGTGATTCAATTGTATAGAAGCGTGGGGGAGTGATGAAATTACTAAATGGATTAAAGTTTTGTTGTGAAAATTATTGTTGTTATGGGGAAGTCGATTGTCATGACCCGATCTAGAGTCTTGAATTAACGAGGTGGACACAGACGGTCCGACGGATATCATAATTTTTCAATAATAATAATTACTTAGTAATCTAAATATTCTAAAGTAATCAAAGAGACACTAAAATAATTTTCTAGTCAAAATATATTATAAAAAAATTCTTACCTATTTTCAATTGACCCTCTCCTTTTGTACACGAAATATTCTTGATCAACCATTTAATTAACAGAGGATTTACATGAAATTTCAATTTAATAATTTGAGTTTTCAAAAATAAACTTAGTGGTCAATTATGATTTATAATATAATAGTAACAATCTCATGCATTTAAATAGTTATGGTATAACATCAAACTTTTCATTACATGATCATATATATATATATCCTTGATTACATAATCTGTCTTTAACAGATTGGTCTAGCCGGTCCATACGGGATCGGCTTTTGTCTATCAGAGGTGGAACAAAAGTTCTGCCGCATATGCCACACGAGTCCGCCTCCTCCCTATAGGGTCCAACAACCAAGTGAAAGAAGGCTTTTGGAAGGAAATTTGAAAGGAGGGTTAGAGATTTCCTTTTGGATTGTTTGCTTTAAGTTGATTGTTTCCCTAAAGTTAGGGCATGATGAGTTTTGGCTGAAATTAGATTGTTCTTAAGTTTGTTTTGGGCTCTTGCGCTGTCTAGAGATTGAGAGAGCCAGATCCTCTCCAATTGAGGATCCATTTTATCTTGTTGCTTTTCTTCTATTATTATTAACCAAAAAGTTCTTATATGGTTTTATTCATCCAATTTTACTCAATCTTTGATTTGCAAAGTGCTGAAATTAAATTTGAAATAGGAAAATTCTTGTTTCCTACAAGCATTTATTTTCAAATTGGTATCAGAGCAATTTCCTGTGCAGAAATAAAAGTCATCTTCGTTTGCATTTTCTCTCCAATCTTTCTGTTTTTCATTGTTTGAAGACCAGAACCTTTGCTTTTTTTGGCCGTTTTTGCTATTTGGATCCGAGATCCGGGTACCCATGGCAGGAAAAAAAGTGGAAGCATTGGAGGGGGAGATCAGACAGTTGAAATATGAAATTTCAGATCTCCACACTTAACTTTTAGATGTCAAAAGACTAATTTCAACCATCAACGAGAAGATGGATGGAAAATTTTTCATCATAGGAGAGATGTTGAAGAAGTTGCTCGAGGGTCAACCCAAAACGGCGTCGTCAGAGGCGAGGGAAGCCTCCGACAACCAAGGAAGTGTGGAAAACCCTATTCCAATAAGGTGAAGAGAAGGTCAAGAAGTGGAAATCCGGGAGGGAGAAAGGAGACTACCTCTCCTAGTGCATATTCCTAGGGAGGTGATGGGTAGAGGGTATGTGGAGAGGCGTGAGAGGGTTGGGCATGAGTGGAGGGGTGTTGGATTTGGAAAGAGAGGTGTTGAATTTGAAAGGCGAGGGCTTGATTATGATCGATGATGTGTCAATTTCGAAAGGAGAGGGGCTGAATTTGAAAGAAGGGATACTGAAATTAAAGGGAGAAGGTGGGCTGGTGAGGAAATGTTTGAGTGTGAGCGGAGAAGTGGGAAATTGGTACAATTTGGGGCACCCCCCCTCTCTCGGGGAATGTGAAACTTAGGAGGAAGCAAGGGTGAAGGAGGAGATTTGAGAGTGAGGAAATTGAAGATGACAATGTTTGAGTGGGAAGACGCGCATAGGTGGATCTATAATGTAGAAGAATATTTCGCCTTGAATGGGTTGACAAAGGACAAGAGTCAGTGGGCCTAAGTTTGGAAGGGAAGACTATGGCTTGGTACCACTGGAGGGACATGCGACGACCCATACGAAGTTGGAGGGAGTTCAAGGATTGCTTGGTAGATTGTTTCCGAACCTGCAGGGGAGAAGACTTCTACAAACAGTTATTTGCCTTGACACAAGATGGTTCAGTGATAGAGTACCGGTAGAGGTTCGAGTATCTTGCTAGCTGATTGGACTGCCTTTCTGAGATAGTGCTAGAGGGGAACTTCATAAAGGGACTTGCAAAAGAGAATCGGGCAGCAGTTCGAGTAATGAGGCATCGTGACTTGGGAGAGGCTATGGAGCTAACTCAATTGGTGGAGGATCAAAGATATCTGGAGAGAGACAGAAGATACAGCTTAGGAGGGTCATACCGGATGACCACCTCCTTTTTATCACCCAAGGAGCCCACACCAGGTAGTACTCGTCGGGAGACCCTGAAGGAGGAAGACCTGGGGACAACTTCAAGAAGCTTGCAAAAACAGGGACGTTGTTTCAGATGTGAGGAGAGGTATACACCGGGGCACCAATACAAGGACCAAACTCTTCAGGTTCTTATCGTTTGTGATGATGAGGAATCTGAGGAGGTAGTCGTCTTTCCACCTTGTGGGCAAGGTGGATCTTTGAAAGTGTTAGACTAGTCCAACCGGTCCATATGGGACTGGATTTTGTCTATCAGAGGTGGAACAGAAGTTTCGCGCTACATGCCGCACGAGTCGCTTCCTTCCTTAGGGTTCAGCAGCCAAGTGAAAGAAGGGTTTTGGAGGGAAATTTGAAAGGAGGGGCTGTTTAGAGATTTCATTTTGAATTGTTTGCTTTAAGTAGATTGTTTCCCTAGGATTAGTACATGATGAGTTTTGGCTTAAATTAAATTGTTCTTAGGTTTGTTTTGGGCTCTAGTGGTGTTTAGAGATTGGGAGAGCCGATCCTCCTCTTCAATTGAGGATCCATTGTATCTTGTTGCTTTTCTTCTATTATTATCAATCAAAAAGTTCTTCTCTGGTTTTATTCATCCAAATTTTCTCAATCTTTGATTTGCAAAGTGCTGAAATTAAATTTCAACAAGGGAAATTCTTGTTTCCTACAAGCGTTTTCTATCACATTTCTATCATTTAATCTTGAAATTTTAATAATTCATTTAATTTAGGAGTTCCGTCTAATAAATACTAATTTAGATATTTCTATTTTCATTTTCTTTTCCATTTAACGTGCACAAGTATGTTGCGTCCCCAACCAATATTATAAGATGGTGAACTCCTGTATTCACATGTATATACATTTGCCATTTCGACATTTTTCTTTCATTTTCGTATTGCAATTCATTGTTTTCATTTCATTTTCTTTTCATATACATATCAATCTACATAAGCAGTTTTCACATTTATGTACATACTTTATTGCAACTCAGTTTGTTTATTTTTCCTTAATTTAATGTATAGTGGTTTCTTTATAATTTAATAAGTCTATAAACATGATACAATATCAGATAATTGTATTGAAACAATAATAAAAATGTAACTCCTATAAAATAAATATAATAACTATAAAATAAATGTAATCATCCACCTCTTTTCCTTTTTGAATATCAAAATCCTTCTTTAGAATTCCTTAAACTTTTAGTTTGCTTTCCTTAGGGATCAATCTAACTATCGAGGAAGTAATTAGTTCAGTCTCTACAAGTAGTTTAGAACATTAATATTAAACTTAAATTAAATTTTCTCAACAAGTTAACCTTATATAATTTTTCCCCAAATACACTTGCTTGTTTCTCATATTTTGTCTTTGACTCAAAGATTTGATTCTTGCACTGTCCAAAAGTAATGTTAGCAATATTGATAACCTTGAAAAATCTAATGTTATCAAGAGTAATGTTGGACGCCTCCATTCATTAATATGTATTCTAATCATGTTGCATATCATATGATCAAAATAATATATACCTCTATTATGTTATTTACCTCAATATATCTTTTCTTGTACTATCTTTTTCTTCGTTCTACTCTTTGATACATAATGTCCTTTCTTCTTTTTCATCTCGTCAAGAACAAAGCCTTCACAATATATCAACAGTAAGCGACTCTCCTTCTCCTCCAACTTTCTCTTTCACAATATCTCGCTCTTCTTCTCGGTTGTTGTTTTCCTAAACTTCTCTCTTTCTCTCGTGCAGTTTCACTAGATTGAGCAAAATTGACTTACACGAGGAGTCGCGTCCGCATGCTCACAATTACTCCCAAACCCGCATGCGTTTGATCCACAGACGCCTGCTTGCTTCGTCTCTGCTCGCCCGCTCTGATTACACATAAATGGACCGGTTCAATTGAATCGGTTTGGTCGAACTTCATATCGATGCTCACTTAGATTTTCAGGTTAGATGAGGCCTTATCTTGTGCTCCTCTCAAATGGACGCCGCCAATAAGACATGTTTAGGTGAGCACAACACTTTGGTACACACTTTTCCTTGACTTGAGAGATGAGTGCTAGTACTGTCAATGTTGAAGTTGATAATCTTTAAGGTAATAATCTTTGATAATGAAAATTTGATATTAGATGTTGTTAAAAGAGTATCAAGGGCTAGTGAAACAAGGTTTCTGACACCGGACCGGAGGGGGCTCGACGAATCTACTTCGGTGGCCGTGGCCAGATAACTCCAAGAACTTCTTGGAGGAAGGATCCACCACCTAAGAATCACTCTTAAGATATAGAAAAACAAACAAACTAAACTCAACTCAAATCTTATTCATCTTAACCATCCTCAATTACAAATGTTGCTACCTATTTATAGATAAAGGTAGCAACCAATTAGGCTACACACAACCAAAAGCAAACTCTAATCCGATGTAGCCATATAACTACCAATTGGAACTAACTATCCTGAAGTTAATTCAATTAATGTCTTAGCTACGACGTCATACTACCGGGATAGGAGGAACTTCAGGCTCACAAAAAGATGCCCGGTTGTCCACATTAAGGAGGCAGATTTGGCTGGCTAAACCAGTCAGGATAGGTCCACCCGATGTCAATTTGCCTACCAATCTTTAATTTCTCAATAGTAGCATAAGCAGATGGAATTGGCTTATTATAATCCTTGGGATTCATAAACTCATTTATACCAAACTTTCTTGCTCCCTCAAATCGGTTTGGATTGAAGTCAACACCAATAATTCGTGATGTTCCGACAAGTCTTACACCTGATGCTATGCCAAGACCAACGGCTCCTAGATAAAAAATGATTACAATGATTTTTTTTTTTTGGCTTTGCAATGTTCAGCGTTGCCCTTATCTCTATTAAAATACCACAACTGATAATACAGACTTTGTCTAGAGGAGCAGATGGATCCAGCTTGGCAAGACAACCATCATGAACTACTGTGTATTCACGGAAGGGAGATGTTAAGTGGTGGATGAGGGTTCCCTTTGCTGTTTTAGGCGGCGGCACCTCCACTTTCTCGATCTCTTTTGGAAAATTGTGTGCGAATAGTTCTGATTGGACATTTGTCTTACTCTTATCATAATTATCATATGAGGGTTGCTCCAAATCAAGAACTCCATCGAACATGTCATCCTCATACACGTCATACACGGGTTCATCAAAGACAGACAAAGACGGCGATTTCGGCAACATATCTTTAATTTCTTTGAAGCTGAACTCAATCGAGGGAGGGGTGGAAGAGATCTGATCATCTGAAATGCCCTCGTCGTCATCATCGGTTCGTAAGGATCTTCGTTCAATCCTTGACAATCTTAATTTGAGTCGGGCAATTTTTTGTAGAGGATCTTCGACTTCTTCTTCTTGATGTGGTCCCTGCCATGTCCATTGGGAAGGCATCTTGTTCTGGTTTTCAAGAACAAAAATTAATCCGTTGGAAGCAAACAATTCCAAATATGCAGCTACCACCAATTGAACCTTGCTGTAATTTGAAACTTCAAAGAAATTGCTTTGGCCTTGTTTCTTGATTGAAGAAAGACTCTTGAAGTTCCATGCCTCAGTTGCAAGACTAGCTTTAATCAAAACATCTGATGGTCCACCTTTTTTTTTTCACAGCCTAAGAATGTCCATCAGCCTCAAGAATTATTGTGAATGTTTGGATGCGAGATCTTCTGGAGAGAGTTCTTGTAGCCATTGTCTTGAAGTCCGCCTAGGATGGAACTCAGCCACCTCTTGGATCTTTGTCCAAGATACAGAGAATAAAACAAGAAAAGCTTCCCGATTACGCCACCAAGGCCGATTCACAACCAAAGTAGTTCTGCCATCGGGTCCAATTCTCCACCGAAGCCGGGTCGCCACCGAAGCCGCTTCGCCACCTAAGACGGGTTGTCACCAAATGATACTGGCGGAGGCGGTGACACGACAACGGACAAGAATGCCATCAACTTGTTAAAGAATGTCCCTAGCATGAGATTGCGTCCGCCAGAACTCCAGTTTGTCCAGAGCATTCACTCACACCGCAGGACAATGCAGACTGCCCTCTCTACACGAAGAAGATATGGTTTTCAAGAATGCATGATCTTGCCTTCAATCTATTACAATGACTTGTAATCGCAATTCGACCACCAGAAGATGGCTGTCGGCCCACTACGCTTCCACTGCGAACACCTCCAACGGATATTGGAAGCCTCAGCGAACACCTCCAGCGGATATCAAGATGACATGCTTCTCTTTGTGCCGTCTCACTCCACCACCAATAATTGGTAAAACATGATACAGGAAACAGGGAACTAAACAAGAATTATTTCTTTATTCTTTGTCAAGAGCTCCTAACACCCACGGGAGGAAATTGCTAGCAGACCCAAGGACAGAGACACGAAACCACCACTTGATTAAATTCAAGATACAGGAAGAGATAAATCTCTCTCTCAAAAAAAGTTCAGGCCAAAATTCTCTCCGGCATCTTGCCGGTTCTGATACCAAATGACACCGGACCGGAGAGGGCTCGACGAATCCACGTTGATGATCCGGTGGTCATGGACGGATAACTCCAAGAACCTCTTGGAGGAAGGATCCACCACCTAAGAATCACTCTTAGGATACAGGAAAACAAACAAGCTAAACTCAACTCAAATCTTATTCATCTTAGCCATCCTCAATTACAAACATTGCTACCTATTTATAGACAAAGGTAGCAACCTATTAGGCTACACACAACCAAAAGCAAACACTAATCCGATGTAGCCATATAACTACCAATTGGAACTAACTATCCTGAAGTTAATACAATTAACGTCTCAGCTCCGGCGTCAGTTGCACTCTTGGAAACATGGTAGATGTTGTAACAAGATCTTCAAGTTTTAGATTAGTAAATTTTGAGGATGGCAAAGATGAGTTTGATGAGGCAAAAGAAGAAATGAAGGCTATAAGTGATAGAAAAGAGATAATGGATGATGGAAATGCATTAGATAGTTGTGAAAATTAGATTATTCTTAGGCTATACATCCTGAAGTAGTTTAATTGTATGTATTCACATAAATATAAATTATTTTGCTAGATTTTTAAATTAAATGCAATGAAACTCAAATATTCATCATTTTCCCAACATAATTTCATGTATTAAGGCTATAAATTTGGCTTGAGTATTAAAAATGCTCGAAAATCAAATTGAATTTTGCCTTTGATTAAAGTCATTGAGTCAACTAATGAACCAAACTCAGCTTGGTTCGAACATAGAATTAGTCAAATCTTGATCAATCGAGTTAGATCTGGGTCATATTGAAATGTATATGCATTTACTTACGTACCCATATTTATGTATGTGTTTAACTATGGTTTTTGGCAGTGGAATTGTTTTGAGGGAACTTAGCACTTTTGAAAACACCGGCGAAATGTTGAGAGGAGCCAAAATATTCTTTTTGATAGGAGAAAATTTTAAATGTCTATGGAAGGTGGAGAGTAAGAGCTTAGAAGTTGCTCAGAATATATTTATATCAATTGTAGTATGCACCAAGTATAGCTTTAAACAGTGGTTAATAGTTTAGACTATTCTAAGATGCGGATGAAAATGATTGGAGAGGGCTTTAAGTGAAGGTGTATCAGCTATCCGTAATATATCAAAATATATACTTTTCAGTGCTTATCAAATGAACTTGTTTGTACATGTATAGCTGGTGCTTATGGCATCATTATTATACAATGCTTGTTCCATGTGTCATGTACTGATTACTGATAAGTTTACCTGTATCTTTCATGGCTCTTTCATCTCTCTTATTACTACAGGCATACAAAGCAAAAAGAAGAGGATATCGCTATATGTAACTGTCAGTTTAATCCAAATCATCAGGAGAGCGCATGTAGTGAACATTGCCTGAATGTGCTGACGAGCACAGAATGCACTCCTGGCTATTGTCCTTGCGGTGATTATTGTATGAATCAGGTTAATTTATTATTGTTATTTTTGTTCTAGTAGTCACTGAGAGGTAACTTTATTACTTTAAGCACACATTGCTATGTTGCTAAGCTGCTAACAGGGATGATCTTTTGAAGGGATTATACGTCCCCAGAAAATAAAGAATTCTTATAAACTTCAAACAAATCTTACTGCCAGTTAGGGTTTAATTGTAAAGGTCTACTGTTGACTGGTATTTATGTGTTTAATTGTAACGGTTTGAGACTGTGTTTGATTTATTCTAATGCCTTCTTATGTAAAAATACTCAGTAAGTGCATTGAATGACTTTTAATTCCTTGACTCAGAATGAAATGTATGGATGCATGTTCAATATGCAGAAATCATACATGTTATGCAGGATTAAATTGATAACTGTTTCAAGGCAAGAATGGAGACTGATCTAAAATTTGGGTTATCTCATTTTTAATGGTGAATTAATTAGGATAATCACCAAAAAGCAGACTATATGATGTTGCAAAATACAAAATAGAATTGCCTTAAGACACTAGATGAAAAATAAAAATAGGTAATTTTGTTTATCTGAATCAGCACTATCTTGAAGCACGATTGTCTAACCCGTATTTTCATAGAATAGCGGAGTATGTTTGTTATGGTTTTTTTATGCATTTTAACTTAAAAGTGCAAATTTTCATATTTTAACAAAAGTATGATTAAGTTATTTTAAAAATTTATCATTATGCATATTATGAGAATGACATATAGAAATTATCTACCTCCTCACTTGAAAACGGCCACTTGGCAGAGGTTATTTTTGGGAAAGTAAATCATCTGTCTCTTCTGAAAAAAAATTAGTTTTTGCAAGGTATGATCTTTGTAAAATTTGTTCATTAATTTTTTGTAACAACCCACATATGTTTGTCAAATAGTTTATCTTACCTTTTAATCTGGATGTTAGATGGATTAGGTATATTTAATGCATTTCTGGTCTTGGAAAATTGTTAATTCATACAAGGGTAGTGTTACTGAGGTCCATATCTTTATTGATTTTTTCTACAAGGATCGAACCTTAGATCACCTCCTAGCTTCGAAGTAGAGACTTAAGGTTTGAATACTAAAAAAATAAGAATGGTAAAATTTAACTGTTCAGCTTTGTTCAGTTCTTACTTTAGTTCTTAAGATAGCTTTTTTATATCCATTCATTATGTATCATCAGTTATATCTTCATAATAATGTGTTATCTGCATTCAAGGATAATTCTCGATGCCATTGTGGTACCCTTCGTACTTTGTGGTACTTTTATTTGTACAATTTTTTTTAAACAGCTCATCTTTCTTTTATTGCAGAGGTTTCAGAAATGTCAATATGCTAAGACAACATTATTTAAGACTGAAGGCCGTGGATGGGGCCTTCTTGCAGATGAAGACATCAACGTAATTCGTTAACTGTTTGTCTTTTATTAGCATTTCTATAACCCAAAGTTACCCACAAATCGTTCTCACTTATATTTACTACTTATTATAATATTTTGCTGATCGACAATTCTCTTGTCTAATATTGTTGATATGGCAATTTCAATTCCATTGCAGGCTGGGCAGTTTGTTATTGAGTATTGTGGAGAAGTCATATCATGGAAGGAAGCTAAACAGCGATCTCAAGCATATGAAACCGAAGGTATTGACAATAATTAAATGAATTTAATTTCCTTGAGTATTCATTGATCTCTTTAATTTTTGTAGGTTTGAAGGATGCCTACATTATTTCTCTTGATGCACATGAAACAATCGATGCCACGAGGAAAGGGAACCTGGCCAGATTCATCAACCATTCATGGTAATCTTCACACGCACATACATATACAAGAAAGTAATCTCGTGCAATGCATGGTATAATTAAAAATTTATGAGGATTTTTAGAAGCTTCATATAAGACTATTAGAGCATTTTATCGGTTTTCACTGATTTCTCATCTACTTTGAGTTTTGGCTGATTTTGAGTTATGGCTTCAGCTTTTAAAATATCATGTCCTTTCATTTAAAGAACATTTTCCTAAAAAAGAAAATGGGAAAAATCATTTTAAAATTGAACTTCATTGGGTTTTAAAAATGGAAGCTCTTTTCATCCGTTACAGATTAATCTATAATTCATAGATTCATCACTTTAAATAGGGAATACTTTTCCTTTTCACTACCTAAAAAAAAAAAAAAATAAATAGAGGGTCCTCTATTTTGAAATGGAGCTCTCTTCTTGCTTTAGAGTTTTGCTGAATCGTAGTAAATGAGATGAAGTCAAATATATTAGATAAAATAGTAAACATTTGATTAACTATATTTAAATTTAGATATAAATATCTTTAAAGTTGAATTTATAATTAATGCATGTCTCATGTGATAACTCTTAAATAAAATTGTGTGGAAAAATATTTAATTATTAATAGAATTGAATTTAATTGAAGTTAATACCATAATCCATTTTTTAGTTAAAAGAATGAACTGAATTGCCAACACTAGTGGATATAAAGAAGTATGCATGTGCACATATTAGATGGTGGAAGGATTAATGCATGTGAAGGTCTCATCCTTCCGCTTTATTGCTTTCTTAGATTGGCTTTTTACCTAATGAACGATTTTCATACTTCCCTGACGTCTGATATCTTCTTTTTGAAGAGTGCAGCGGACCAAACTGTGAAACAAGGAAATGGAATGTATTGGGGGAAATAAGGGTGGGAATATTTGCAAAGCATGATATTCCTGCTGGAACAGAACTATCCTATAACTACAACTTTGAATGGTATGGTGGTGCTAAAGTTCGGTGCCTCTGTGGTGCTGCCTGCTGTTCTGATTTTCTTGGGGCTAAATCACGTGGTTTTCAGGTGAATCTCAATAACTAGTAACTAAATTAGCGATGTTTATTCTTTGAAGCAGTAAAATTGAAGTAGTAAAAACCATAATTTTGGCTTGCAGATTTTCTAGAATTACTTGTACCATTGCTGTGTTTTTCTATAGAAGGTAGGTCTGTATCGATTATGATAAAAAACTGATCCAATGATGATCATTAGATCACGGTCTATCAAACACACTGATTATGGGATGAAAGACCTCTTATTAGATGTCAGTACACGACTCTGTCCTCCATTAGACTATTAATCAGAATTACAAGCTTTAATTTTTGTACCGATATATCTTTAGAGCAGGTAAGAGTTTTGATCAAATTAGATTCCACTTAAAGTTGATATCTTTCAAGTCAATCCAGCATCATAATCGATTTAATTCCTTGCTATCTTATAACTTATTTGATGTGACTTGAAAATATAAATCCGAAATGTTGGAAGGGGATTTGAACTTAAAATCCCGTGGATGGATAAATAAACACTTTACCTATAGATCCTCCTGGACTTTAAACCAACTTGACATTGAGTTTGGGTTGCTTCCCCATGCTCAAATCTTAACCCTAGATGATTCAAGATTCAATCCAATTTCAATTTTTTGGTATTCTTATTGAGCTGTTATACCATCGAGAGGCTATTCAACATTTATTATTTTGCCTTTCTTTTCATATGTTTGTATGACACTTGCAGATGGGATTACTTAAAGTTTGAGCTATGAAAGGGTACTATTATCGAAATCAGGCATTCTATTAATATTTCTTTTGTTTGTTTTATGTTAATATTATGGAAAATATCTTTTGATTATTCAATCATGCAAGGAAGTTGCAGAAAGTTTTGATGTTATGTCTACCAACATACTTTTATCAGAGTTACTGCAAAATTATTGAACAAGAGAAGCCAAGTGTTAACATCTGTTATGGTATGCCGAATAAAAAATGTGGATGAACCATGGTTGAATTTATGAAGGCGTAGAAAAGAGTTATTATGCTAATAATATCATGTTACTAATAGGTGAAATCCAATTGCTCCTTGTGGTAAGATGCAAATGTAGCTCTTTTGGGAAAAAGTAAAGATGGTTGATGCTGTAATTTTCTGGCTAAAATGAATTCATTGTAAACTCTTAATATAAGCCGATATAAAAAGTTTCTAGATGATGCTAGCATGCCGTGTTGAATGGAATTAGGGTTTATAAACCCTAATTCTGTAATTTCTTGATAGAAATTTCTTCAATATTTAAAAAATTTTGAAATTAGGGTTATTTAAATCATAATTGAAAATGTAATTAAATCTTACCTTTGAGTTATAAAAAAGATTTCTAGGCTTTCTTTTAAAGTTAGCGTTGAAGATGTCTAATGCAATTTCAAAGGTGTTGAATGACGTTCAATGTGGCGCCGAAGGTAATCGGCTTTGTCTCTTCTCTCATTCTTCTTCTCTTCTCTCATTCTTTCTGCCTCCCTCTCTCTATGCTGAGTGAGGAGAAACAATAAGTTGTTCCTTGCCTCATTATGCCGAACGATAATAACACAAACCACCCCTTCTTTCACCGTCACACCAACTCATTCGCGTTTGCTTTGTCAGGGACAAAGAGATGAGCTTATGTCGGTTCATTTGAACGGGCGTGGCCGGTTCAAATTGGCCGTCACAGCAGGAAGGGATTTACTGGTGATGTTTTCTAGCAAAATTCTCACTACAGGAAAAACGTCATTTTCCGGCAGAAAAATGGCCAAAATTCTTCAAAAAGTAGCATTTCCGACGGAAATATTTTCGCCGGTTTAACGCACGTCGGAAAAGGTCTTTCGATGCAAAATAATTCGCCGGAAACATTTTCGACGGATTTTTCACTGGAAAAATATTTCTGACGGATTTTTATTTTGCGCCGGAAAGACAAGAAAAATTAAAAAAAAAACCCAAAGTAACTAGACCGGCCCGCTGCTCCCTTTTGAGCTCCGCTCCAGCCCAGCCTACAAAGCCCGCGTGGAGATGCTAGCCGACCTGGACAGGTCCCGCCTGCGCTAAAGTTGAAAATCCGCCGGCAATGCCATCGGAAAACCAGTAAAAAAATATGTCGGAAATTTGCAAAAAATTTTCCGTTGGAAAACCACCGGAAAATCCGCGGGAATTTGTGACGAATTTACTTCAGCCGGAAATTCTGCCGGAAAGGAGCTGTTTTCCTGTAGTGTCTTTTCATGTATAAGTAAAAGCTAGTTTTATTGATGAGGAAGAGCATTGTTGGGAATGTGGAATAAAGCTGTTTTATTTCCTTACATTTAACTATACATTAAGCTGTGGAGTGTGGTTTCAGTTCGTAGTTATTTGTGGTTATTTTGGTATTTTGCAGTTGCCAATGCTTCTGCTCAACCTTATGCTGCAAATACATGCTATATAAGGTACCTTGGTTTTTTAATGCCTCATTAAATCCTTGAGACTATTGGATTAATTAATGATGGTAAAAGATAATCTGAACAACTAGTTTCTTCCTGTTGCATTTGGTGATATTAAAGTACTACTTTCTTTCAAGAAAGCTAAAAAGATCTTATTCTTCTTTTTGTGGTTAGAGAGCTTGATTATAGAATATTAAATTGCTTATGAGCCAATGATCCATCATGAACCGTGGTTTGATTTGTACATTAGACCAATCCTCTTTCTATAATGATTACATTACTAATTATGAACCAATACTCTTTTTTATGGATTAATTAACTATTCAAGAAATAATAATTTCTAGTAATGCATACATTACAATATAACTCATCATACTATTACTTTATGGATTAAGTTGCTTTGATGCACAAATTCTTTCACCAGCTTCTATCCAGGTTTCAATCCTCTTACTAATTATTAACTACTTAACTGTTTAGGCACTGATATTTGCACTAATCAAGGATTAATTATTGATAATTGTCACACTAATTATTGAAGGTTGTATTTATTAGGCGCCAATACTCCTACGAAGCAAGCTATACGAATTGCTAATACTTCAAATGAGATTAGGTTTAGCCACTGGAGAAAAGGTAGCTTAATTCAAGTAAAAGCTTGATTAAAATAATAGACCCCACTTAAATTAGTTGAGTTTAAACCTTACTACTGGATAGATTGTTGATGGCATTGGGGAATTTAACTGGGTTTAATCCTGGTTTAGTACCCAACTTATCAGTTGTATTAAATTTTGCTGAAAACTTTCTCAACCTGTAGAATTTTGTGGTACCTATTAAACTTATGGTATCAGGAGTACTAATAACCAGTTTCTCATATTTGTTTGCTTTTTACCTATTACAGGCATGATGTGCGTTGGTAAAGCGTCTCCATTTGTGAAATTACTAGATTGAACAAAAAGTTGGGTTGGGAGGGGCAGGGGTGGTTTTAGGACGTGAAAATTGTGGATTAGGTATTTCTAATCTTTTAGCTGGCTTCTACTAAACAAATACGAACTGTTATAGATGCATTTTGCCAGAATTGGAGAATTGCAGTTTACATCATTGAATAATAGTATGGTAAATTTACCGCTAAGCATGAATGGTGGAACAAAGAAAATGGAATTTAATTTACAAAACCATTTGCCAAATAACTGAATTAAAAGAAAGCATTGAACTGTCAGAGGTGCAGTTTGGCCGATATTGAGTTTCACTCAAGTAAGCAATAGAAAAGTATTATCTAAAGCTTGGTAATATCAATGCCATATATAAAGAATGCAACAGTGAAGATTTAAATCAATTTAGAGCCTAGTTCTTAGGAATTATAATGAGTTGCTTTTGAAAAAAAAAGGCATCCGTTGGGTGTTCCTAGTTAGTTAACGGGCAAAGTTCCAGTAGTTTAAATTGATTTTGACCAAGGTTTGCTTTATGTTTCCCGTTAATTGGATACATTTATTGTTAAATGCAGATCTATCAAACAATTTTATGGATAAAAGACATTTTTTATGCAGAGCGGGTGAAGTAAAATGACTTTGGTTTTAGGAGAATACAATAAGTGTTCAATGCTATTCTTGTTGCATCATGTTCTTTTATATAATCTTGTCTGCTGCTGAATGTTGTTTGATACCCCAGCACAAAGTTTTTCCGGTTTGAGTTTCTTTTATCTTAATTTTTGTTCCTAGAGCTTCAAGTAGCATTACTCAAAACAATATTTACAATTTTCTCATTTTGAGTATTCTTTTCTCATTGATGCAACATGCTTTGTAGGAGGCTACCTATGTTTGGGAAGATGATGATAGCAGGTATGATTGTCTCATATTTCGAATCATTTTAATCTTTGTATCTTTAGTCGTCAAGAAATTCAAATGAAATGAACTTAGGGTTGTTTGTTACTTTGTTTTGTTGATTCTGCTATGTATTATTACGTTATCAGCAGATGTAACATTGTTTTGTTTGGCGACATCTGCAGACAATTATTTTGTAATTGAGATTTAAATTATAATATAGTGACATCTAGATGTTGGCCAAATTTACAGCCGTCTAGATGCCGACAAAATTCATCTACATCTAGAAATTATCCAAATCTCCGAAGATCTAGATGTTGAATTGTGTGGTCAAAATAAATAATAGAAAATAAAATGAGGATTATAATAATCATTGATCATTTTAAATAAATTTTGTTATTTAGCAAGGCTTGGTTATTTAAGAGGAATGTTACCTATGTTCTATGTGACAAATTTGATATTTTTTAAGAAGTTAACAATGCTGTTGTTAGGAAATAAACAAGGATATCGATTAAATTGAACCAAAGAAAGAGAAAGAATCTTGTGGCAAAACACTCAAATAGCCTTTTAGATTGATGAAATACAGAAGAAGATGACATGATACAATGGGTCTTCCTATTGGAGAGGAAGATCCGGCTCTCCCAAATTTCTAGACGCCGCTAGAGCCCAAACAAAAACTAAGAAAACCGAAATTTCAGCCAAAACAGAGATAAAACCTAACCCTAGCCGCCAAAGTCTACTTAAGCAATACAATAACTAGATAAAAACCCAAAACCACCCTTGCTATTTGAATTTTACCTCCCCCAAATCCCCTTAATTAAACTTGTGGACCCCACAGAGTGGGCGGCAAAGAAGGGGGCGGAACCCTCCTGTTCCGCCTCATGTATACCTGGACTGGTCTTGTTTGGACCGACTGGAACGGTCCATGGACCGGTCTTATCAACTATCCATACAAGAATTCCTTCAAAATAGCAACTCCTCTGATGAGGATGAATACGTTGAAAGATCAATATTCAATAGATTGAATAGGATGAATACATTCTGAGATATTTGTACAATTGAGAGAAATATTGGTTAGCTGTGGAATGATAGTGATATGATGAATGTGGTTATTGTTGAATAGTTGGGGATATTTCGTTGAGGGGTTGAACATGCCCATAATTACGTTTAGCTGTATGAGTTTTTTTAAGATTCCCTATGAATAATAAGTTAATATTTTAATCTCATACTGCAGTCAATCATGTCATTAGCACATTGATGAGTTAATTTGCCAGCAGTTAAAGTTGACTGCCTTATGTACAAGACAACCTATAATTTTATCTTTTTATTATAAAATGCTATTAGAGCCATATACGGTACACAACCTTGCTGTAATCAGTTGAGAATTGCAAAATATATACAGTAATAGAAGGGATTCACTTCTTATAATGTAATGGAAATGATCTCATTCGAGTGCTAAGTTGTCTATATTGTATATGGCTGGGAAGGATATGCAATGAATACAAGGGTGACAAGAAAAGTATATGTGGTTGACTTGTGCTACGCTAATGCCGATAAGCTCGTAGCACCTTTTAGAGGATATTGATATCATTTGAGTGAGTACTGTGACGACACATCCCATAGAGACTTAGTTGAGCAGGTTTGTACAATCATCATCATGCCTAGTTATGTAACATTGCTGAGATAATATTTTGCATTTAGAAAGAGAGATTTCATGTGTCAACTCCCATGAGATAATCTCCTTCTAGTGTTGAGGCAGATATTAGGCTTGGGCGAGTAGTGCTGCACAATTTATTGGTCATTATCATGGCTATAATCCCTATTTCGACATGTCAAAAACTAATATGCAACATGATAGTGAGTTGGGTGATGTAGAGAAGCTGATGATGTAGACCTTAATGTATATGCAGTAGTTGGGGAGAGAATTTGAGATACTGTGAGACATGTAATTGCCACTGACATTTGAGAAGTATGGGAAAATTTTTACTTCATTAAATAAAATTTAATTTGATTTATAATTGATAATTTACTAATTTGTTATTTTGATCACAGGAAATGACTCAAACGCATCACTCAACTTGATTAATAACATCACATAATCGAGGCAAAGGGAAATTATTGGTGTTCAAATGTATTATATTTTTAAATCTTTAGAAGATCTCATCATTGTGGTGCAAGCAATTTGTGATTATCTTTATCTGCAATCATGCTGCTTGTTTTCATTCTATCAATAAGATTTTATACTAAATCCTGTTTGAGTTAATAGCCTTAAAATTCTGAAGTAAATAGCCAAATAGTTTGATTTAATTATTTTAACTCTCTGTCATTCCAAACAGCTTTCAGGACTTGGTAAATTTGGATTTAGAGGATTTAGTATACACTACTTGAGTTGAATCCTACTTGCAGTCCAACAGCCTATTAATAAAGACTATGAATATGATAACGATTTGTGAGTTGCCGTTGAATTTTTTTGTGCTTTATAGGAATAGTTGTTAGATTTCATTGTTCAAGATTGTTTATATAAACAAAATCAAACCCAATCAAGTAAAAAACCTTCCCCGTAGTAATCTGTACTGCAAAAGCATAAATATTCATCTTAATTTGGTTTTTGAGATTATCTTTTACAATTTGGTGTTTGAGATCATCATTTCTTATTGTCTAAGGCGTGTGTAAATTGATCAAATAAATTTTCATTTTAATCAATCTGCATGGTTTACCTTTATTGCTTTTATCACATATTTGAGTTGCTTAATGACAGATACTCTGTTGACAATATGCCCCTCTATGACTCTACCGATGAGGAGACAGATTCTAACTTTATCAAGGCCATTGTTCAATCAAATGAGGGTACAACGACTGAGACAGAAATTGATGAGTCGCTGAGAAGTACCTATGACACTGATTGTGAGATTCTTTCTCAGGCCTTGCCAATTAATGTGGAACCACTGAGCTCTGTGCCTATGGAAATGGAAGAGGAAAAGAATGACACAAATGAACTCAGTAATTTTTATGTGCATGATGCTCAACAGAGCCCTCCACAAAAAACTGCAATGGTTTCTCGAATTCGAAACAGAAATGTTTTCCGTAACTATCAAATACAGTCAAGTCCTTTGTCTAAGAACTTGCCACCTTACTCTAATGGAAAATTGAAAAATCATGTGAGAAGACAGGTCAATGTGAAGTTTATCTGCGAACGTTTAGCATCAAAGGAAGCATGCGATGAACTTGTTTCTTGTGAGGTATGTTTAATGCCATGAACTCTAATTTTTTAATATTTGGTGATTACTGTTTCAAATTATCAATGCTATTTCCTCCAACACGCCTTGCAAGAGTTGCTTACATGGAGTTTCTCTGGCCAAATAATGTTAACTCTTTGAAATTTAATTCTTATGATGAGTGATTTGTTGCCAATTTTTTGTCAATGGGTATTATGGATCTTGTCAGATTGACCAATATGAGTCAAGTTAATATTTGGATGCGCTTGAGGTGGCAATTGCTTCTCATGATTGAATTGATGATTCTAATGGGCTTGGGCAGCACAATGTTTGGAGTTGCCCTTCTTGTTGTTCTTATTTGCTTACAACTCCACCAAATTTTCTTCACACTTGCCTATAGTAATAAACTCTGCTCATCATCAATCTGCTTATTCCAGAAAGCGGATTGAAGAAAATTTGGTGGATTGATGATGAGTAAATGGCCTCCTCAAGCATTCAACTCGTAAATTGCCACCTCATCATCGATCAGGTAAAATGCCCTTCTACCAATAACCCTATTGAATAAGCTTGACTCATCATCAACATGCCAAATTCTGATTTTTCGGCAATTTTTGTGATGGTAATTGTCAGCTACTTATCATAGATGGTCACAAGACACTTTATTCATATGAACACCTATAGACGCTTGGACATTTGATGTTGTAGTGTTGGTTATCTCTTGTAAAAGTCGACCTTCTCTATTCGTAGCCTTCAGTGTGTACAAGAGAACTTTGGAATAGTTTCTGTGAGGCGGATTAGGTTTGCTAGATTTTCTCTGATGCTTGATGCTAGACGAAGGTTTATTGAGATATTAGGTTGAGACTTTTGATGGGTGCAAGCCACTACAGATAATCACCTTTTCTACACTTGTGAGAGAAATCTCGATTGAGTAAGTTGTTTAGACTCAATTTTAGGTTCAAATTTAAAGTTTGGGTTTGAATTGAATTAATGGAGGCGAAATTGATCAAGACCTCATGATTTCATCCTCCCGGGTATACTAATTAGTCTAGTTTGCCACCACAACTTCTTAGGAACCTGATTAATATCCATTTGTCACCTCAACTCAAGTATAATACCCAAAAAAAAAAAAAAAAAAAAAAAACATAATTTGGCATGAAGTATTCCTCAAAATATACCAATTTTACTATTCCTCAATAAAACGGTAGAGTTATTTTTATTAAATTCTATTTTTAGTTTCAAGCATTTTGATTCTAATCTGAAGTTTTGAAAAACTTGAAGTGTTTGGATAGTTTGGATAGGCTATTTCTTACTCATCTGGTCCTGATAGAAGCATTTCATGATGGGTGTTAGTACGAGATAAGTCTGTTCAGATTCTCCTTCTCTATTACACTCCATGTTGAATGTATGAGGGTCAAAATGGGGTGTGGCAGAAATTGATATCAATGCTAAATCAAATCTAAAGGAAGCGTAATTGGATTTAGAAATGAAGTAGGATGAGATAAACTGCTAATTTATATAGAGCTATTGATTAGATTGAAATTGATTTGAATTGTGCATTCATTATACTCATTCTACATGTAAAATATTGTTTAATGCTTTAAAATGATTACATGTGTTATATAAATCGATCATCTATATGAATACAGATAAATATGCCTAAGGAATTGCCATAAAGAATATTGGCCAGTCATTCAGGCCAAATACAATAATAGAAATAAATGAGGGGAATAAGTCTTAGGAACTTCATGATATTAAACATCTGGTATTACAAGTGGTGGATAAAATGATATCTATGGAGAAGTTGTGGTGGTATTCAGAGACTGGTTTATTCCTACTTCGGCCAGACTAGCTCTACAGGACAAATTCTTCAATCTAACTCAAGGTTCCATGACAGTTATGCAATATGATGCTGAATTCACTTCTCTGTCTCCCTATGCACCTCAATATGTCTGCACTTAGGAGAAAAAATGTCATAGATTTTTGAGAGGTCTTAGGGATCAAGTGCGACTAGCATTGACACCTTTTGTCAGTGTGGGAAGAGGCATTCAAGCTAGTGTTTAGTGGGTTATGGAAGATGCTTTAGATCCATCGAATTGGGTCTTCGCAAGGTGGAATGCCCTCATGAGAAAAGAAGCAATGCCAGACCACATGGATATCAGAAGCAGGCACAATAGAGGAGACATCTTGAAGGCAATCAGGCAGGGAAAACCCAGTATCAGAAAAAGCTAGCAATACAAAAGAAGCCACTAGTTTAGATATGAGGAGAAGCATCAGGTGTTAAAGGTAATCAATCAGTGAAAGCTCATGTGTTTTCCAACACACCTCAGGAAGCCAAATATTCAGAGGAGGTAGTTAAAAGTATACGTAAGCACTGAAGCATTCATTCCCATTCCTATTTTCCCGACCCGTTTCTCTGGAATTCAAATGGCTGGCTGGACCAGGAGTTGGGGGATATATGAGGCTTACTAGTACTGTTGTTGTGTAGGGATGCAAATGAACCAAGCTTCGACGAGCTACTCGTGGCTCGGCTCGATAAGGGCTTGTTCATGTTCGTTTGATAATGTAAACAAACGAGTTTGAACACTCTTGATAAATATTCGATAGCTAAATGAACGAGCTTGAACAACATTTCATTTAGTTCATTTATGTTCATGAATAGTCTCGCTTAGAAGCTCGTGAACAAGCTCGCTTAGAAGCTCGATTATAGCTCGACTAAGAAGCTCGATTATAGGTCAATTAGATTTTTAAAAATAAATACTATTAAATCTGCTTAATAATTTATTTTTACTAATTTAATATTTTAAACTTTAACCATTTTCATTAGACATATTTTTAACTTATATTTTTATTAATCTAACTAATTGGAAATATTTTTATTAAATCTTATACTAAAATTTTTATTAAACTAGCCGGACCCGCTTCAATTAATAAATTTTTTATTAAACTCCCGTCTCAATTCCCGCTCATAACAAAAAAAAAATGTTTTTAAACTTCCGCCGGACCCGCCCGTCCTGTCTCTCTCCTTCGTGGCATCAACAAACTCAAAAAATAAAAGATAAGCTGTGGGGGTTTAGTCCTACACCGGCTAGAAAGAAATTATTTTGTTATATGAAAGCAAAGACATTTGAAAGCCCTTTGTTGAATTGCGGGCAGCTAGCTGGTTGGGCGGGTTTTCCTAGGCAGGACGGTACACGAGCTGGTCGGTTTGACTTTAATAAAAATAAATTAATCTGTGAATTGTGGCCGACTTGGCTCGTTATATAAATGAGCCGCTCGATAAGAGGCTCGACAAGCATGAAATTAAACGAGGTCAAACATGAACACGAGCCGAGCTCGAACGTGGTCATTTTAAAAGAGCACAAGCTCGAACACCTGTCCAAGAAGCTCGACGAGCTTCGAGCCGTGCTTGAGCACGGCTTTAACAAACGAGCTTGAGCACGGCTTTAACAAACGAGCTTGAACTCGAACACCGAAGCTCGGCTCCGCTCAGTTCGTTTGCAGCTTTGCTGCTGTGATTGCTGAAATGGGGGTAAGGCAATAGTGTTGGTTGAAATTAAGAATTCTAAATTTTTGTCTTGATACTGGTAATGTTTGTTGCTGATGTAGTTGATGAAAGTTAATTAAGGGATGTGCTATTTGCATGCTGAAATTGGTGTGTAATTGCTGAAATCATTGTTTGCCATCAGCAATTGCTGAATTTTAGTGAGGGATAGATAAATTGAAATTATTGTTGCTGAATTCTATTTTGCAGAAAGCAGAAAATCAGCTATTATCATGAAAATCTGTAAGGAAAAGTGGTAGAAAAGCTGAAATCTGGGGGAAAGGAGGAAGAGGAAAAAGAGATAAGGGAGTAGTCGAATTGAATGCAGAGAAGTTTAATAAAGGTCATTTATAGAAGAAAAAGAAGACAGAGTCTAGGAGAACAAATTCATAACGAGGTGAGATGCCCAACCTGTAGTGTAAGAAATGAGAGCATTTTTGTGTACTTGATTTAAGTGCAATAACAATCATTTTAGATTTAGCATGTTGTATATTTTAGCATGTTTTGAAATGTGATGCTGAATTATGATGCATCAGAAAGATATTACAAATATAGGGTAGGAACATATGCATATTTATGAAAAATAAATGTAAATGAAATAAGTCATAGATGAGGGATTGGCCCGCACAAGTCAGGCGAAAGACTTGAAGAGGTAAGTCTTAGGGAAGTTGTGCAGAAGGTACCCTACTCCCTCTCAATTCTAAAAATTTGGAATTCAGACTCAACCTAGAAGGAGATAGTAGCCTCAATTCTAAAAATTGGGAATTCAGACTCAACTTTGAATTAGAGAGGTGAAAGTGTGCAAAAGTCTATAATCAATATATTACTTTCTAACAGGAAAGGTGAAGAAAGCTAAATATACATTAATGTCTTGTTCAGTTTTTTTTTTTAAAGAGAGGGATTTTCTCTCTCTAATGTCTTGTTCAACTTATTATTATTATAGAAATTCCCGTATAGTTTTTAATTGATTGCAAACATGTTTCTTATTTCTTCTACTATGTTTGTGTATTTCATTGAGCTTTAGCTCATTTATAGTGATTGTATTGTAGGAAAGGGGAAGGATCCCGTAGGGCACTAGGTAGGAAGGTTGATTGAAGTTTTTGTGTACATATATTTTGTGGTGTACATGAGGTCAAAGTAGATGCCGCACAGACACTTTTGGGTATGTAAATGTTATTTGAAGTTTAATAAGCTCTGTATTTTATTTGATGTATTTAAATATGCTTCCAGTTATAAAATATTGATTATGCTCTTAAGTTTTGAAAATTTTGAAGTGTTGGGATAGTCTGGATAAGCTATTTCCTACTCACTTGGTCCTGATAGAAGTATTTTATGATGGGCGTTAGTAAAAGATAGGTCTGTTCAGATTCTCCTTCTCTGTTACACTCCATGTTGACTGTAGGGGGGTCAAAATGGGGTGTGACATCAAGTACCAGAGTAGATTTAGGTGAAAATATATGTGCTTTCAAGATTGACTTGACTT